CAGTCTGTTTTCCCCCTCCTCTAGGCTGCCCTCTGGGACTGACCACACTCTGTCCCCTCTTCTTCCTCCAGGCTGTCCTCTGGGACTGGCCACACTGTCTGTTTTCCCGCTCCTCTAGTCTGCTCTCTGGCACTCACCACTGTCGTCAGTCCGTGAGCCCCCCCACTCCGACTGCCCTCCGGGACTGACTACTGTCAGTCCCCTCCTCTTCCTCCAGGCTGTCTTCTGGTACTGACCACACCGTCTGTATTCCCCCTTCCTCCAGGCTGTCCTCCGGGACGGACCTCACTGTGCCCTCCTCTTCCTCCAGGCTGCCCTCCGGGACTGCCCCCCGCCCGTGCCTTCTGTCCCCCGGGCTGCGCCCCCGGCCGCTGGTACCGTGTCTCCAGGGGTCCTTGGGCTCCACGGCTCCGGACCCTATGTCCTCGTCCGAGGGGAAGGTGACGCGCTTGGAGGCGGCCTTGAGCCCGGCGGCTGCGGCGTCCCCAGCGCCGACCGGGGCCTGCTCCGGGGCCGGGGCCGGGACCGGCGCCTCCTCCAGGGCCGGGCCCAGCGCGGCGCCGGCGGCCTCAGCGCCCGCGGGCACGCCCGCCATGGCCTGCACGGGCTCGGCTCGAGCTCAGCGGGGCCCCGGGCCCAGCCCCCGCCGGCCCATGGCCCCGGCCCCGGCGCCTCCCGCGTCCCGAGCCCCTGACCCCGGCTGCTCCGAGCCCAACGGCGACCCCGACGCGGAGCCCGAGCGCGCGCGGCCCCCACCGACGCCGCCGTCCGCCGCCTCTTCCGCCGCCGCCGCCGCCGCCGCCGCCGCCACCGCCTCCTCGTTTGACGTTGACGTCGACGTCGTCGCCAGGGAGCCCAAGCGCGCGCCCCCGCCCCGGCGCGCGCCACATGCACGTTGGTGCCGGACCTGCAGAGCGCGTCCGAAGACGCACTTTCGTCACCGACGTCCCACTAAAGTGAAAAACACGGGCACCTGGGGAGAGCCGCGAAGGCGACGGAGGAAGGAAACAAAAAAGGGATATAAAGAGAAAGGACTGCGGCATGGAATCTGGAGGGAAGAAGACGCGGCGATTGTGGCGAATGTGTCGAGGAGGACAACAAGGCGGACAAGAGAATGCCGCCTCCGGCGCTGCGAAGACACGCCCCCGTCACATCTTAGACCCACCCACGGGACGGCTCATTCTCTTGCACTTTCATGAGCGCCGCGTCAGCTGTCGCACTTTCGCAATAGACATCCATTTAGACGGGAGGGGACAGCTTCAAAAAAGAAAAAACAAAACAAAGGGAAAAATTGGAGAGGTTAGAACTGCAGGACAGAAACACAAAGTATAAATTTAACAGAGAGAAAAGTAAGCTCTGTGGCGAATACGCTCGTGCGGACAAGCAGATGGGGGAAGGCTGTGTCGAAACGACGAAGCCAATCCAAACCACGCTTCTGTTGCTCCCACGGTATAGAGCCATATGCGGTGAATAGCTTGGCCGCTGCGCTTCAGCACCAAATCGAGAAGACGCAAAAAGCGGGAGTGCCGCACCATTTTTTATGAACCAAATTAAACTGAATGAGGGAAAGGAGGAAGAACATCTACGAATGTGCAGAATCGGACAGGCAGACAGATGGCCGCTGCCAGGCTGCTCCCACACCTCCCTTCCCGTTTCTCTGCATCCACAGCATCCGAATTCTCACTTTCGTCACCTTCAAGTGACGGGAACAAGTTAACCTTTGTTAAGCCTTAATTTTAAAATGTCTAAAGAGAGAGAAGGAGCTCAGCAGTATCCAGATGCATAAGAAGTGGAAGGGGGGTCTTGGAGGGGAAAAGAAGGAAAACCGTGTCGAATATGCGAGGTCGGATGGCTAGGCAGCCAGAGGATTCCTTCGGCGCTGAGACGCCAAGCCCCGCCCCCTTTCGTGCTCGCTCTTCACAACAAACGCCGCATTCGGTGCTGGCCATTCCACGCGATTGTGGAGCAGAAGACTAACTTCGATGAGAGACGCCCAGAGACGGTGGAAGCTGGGGACCTTTATACTGGATAGAAGCGAGGGCAGAAAAGTGGCGAAAAAGGGAGCGGTGAAACTGGCGAAAGTGATGGAGCGAACAGGCACGTGCGAGAGGAGGCACGAGCCCCGCCCCCATGGCTGCCAAGCTTTTCGCCGGGACCGCTGTCGCAGAAGCACTTTCGCCCAGCCCAGTTCGGAGATATAAGACTTTTAAAAAAAAATCATCGATCCTCGAGGGCGGTCGTTCTTACCTCGGGGAATCGAGGCAGTCTCGGGCATTTATTGAAAGGAAAAGGGGCGACTTGGAGGATTGTGCGATTCCCGACAGATCGCCATAGATCTGCTTCCCGAAAGCCACACCACACTCCTCGCCCCGCCCCCACCCACCCAGCGCCTCTGACCGTGTTGAACCGCTTCCCTCTTCCTGAAGACATCCTCAGAGGGCTATCGTCCCCCGCCTGCCACCCAGCTCCTCCAGACCCCCTCCTCCTAGAAGCCCGCCCCGATCTCTTCCCTTCCCTTCTTCCAGCGCTTAGCCCAGTTGCTGGGCACAGAGCAGGCGCCTGATAAATGTTTACTGAATGAATGGATAAGGCTGCTGCCTTCCCATTCTTGGGGGAAACAGTGAGATCTGTGGTGACTCTGCAAAGAATTAGGCAGTTCCCACGAGCGGCTAGGGGGTTTATTGGTGGTCCCCTCCCCAAATGACCCTCGGTGGAGTCCAGGACCTCGGATAGTTGTGGCTGGCCTGGGAAGGTGGGTCCCCGCTCACTCTCCCGAGCGCTCAGTCCAGTCACGCCTCCTTTTCGCACCAGCTGGGCAAGAAGGGGGCTCCCCGCTGGTCCCCGCCGGTATGTGAGCCATGGGGATGTTGCAGCCCCTGCACTTCAGGCTGGGCCACTCCCTCCCTGGTCCTAGGCCAGGCTGGCCGTCCAAGTTCTGGGGGCTGCCGGGAGAGGGAGGGCTCACAGCTGGAAGGAGTAGGAGATGATGTCAGCGCAGCGGAGCAGGGCCTCGCCCTGCACCCCGAGGGGCGTCTGCAGCTGGGACACGTGGAAGTTGGCCACGTCCAGGTCGGTGGCCCCGAAGTGGGCGTCCACCTGGACGCGCTCGTGCAGGGTAAAATGCACAGGACGCCCCACCATGGCCAGGATGCTCCGCAGGTAGCGCTCCCGCAGGGCAGCCCGGGCCTGCTGCTCAGCCACTTCGGCCACAGAGCCAGCCCTGTCCCGGCCCCGGGCAGCGCAGAAACCCCGGCTGGTGCCATCCGGGCCCCGGGGAAGGCGGATCACTGGGACAGGAATTGGGATCTGCCTGGCTTCGCCTGGGAGGAGGAAGAAGAAAGAGATGTCAGGGAGGGAAAATGCCAGGTGGTTCTAACCCACCTCGGCTCCACCGTGAGCCCCTCTCCACGTGTGCGAAATGACAGAGCTTGGACCAGTCTAGGGAGGGGTGAAAGGAGCCTGGCAGGAAACTGAGGCCTGGGCTGGGCAGGCCAGTGCAGTGCTGACTGCCGGGGATCTTGGGCGAGCCCCTTCCACCCTCACTCCCTCTCCAGGCACAAGGAGGGGGGCTGAACAAGTCTTCCTGAGGGTCTCAGGTCTGAAATTCTCTGCCAGAATTATATTTGTAAAGTCCTTTAGCACAATGCTCCCCCCCCCCCCAGGAGGCACTTCATAAAAGCTTGTTCCCCAACCCCCTCCCCCGAAAGAACTCCAAGGGTCCATGGTGTGATCTGGCAGTTAGCAAACAAGCCTTCGGGAAATTCCTCCTAAGTTTCAGGTGTCGGGGAGACAGGCAAAAATGAAGAGGTTCCTTAAGGGAGACTACATCAGGCATACAAAATGCAAACCATTCAGAACTCTCCCCCATAAGTAACTAAAACAAAGGCTTTGTACCCAGTGACAGGTCTGGGCCCACACCCCAAAGAGATGAAGGCTGGAGGAAAAGGACCCATCCCACAAGCACAAAAATACAGACAGCACCTCTTCTAGAAGTGGCCAAAAAACAGGAAACTGAGGGGGTGGGGGCAGGTGCCTGCTTACAGAGAAATGGCTAAATGAATTGGTAGGAGAGTTATGCCACGATTGGCAGCTAGGTGGTGCAGTGAGCCTGGAGTCAGGAAGATGAGTTCAAATCCAGCCTCAGACATTTACTAGCTGTGTGGCCCTGGGTTAAATGACTCCACCTCTGTTTGCTTCAGTCTCTTCAACTGTAAAATGGGGATAATAAACAGGGTTTATTATCTCAGGGTTGCTGTGAAGATCAAATGAGTTAATAGTTGTAAAGAGCTACCCCAATGCCTGGCATACAGCAGGTTCTCAATAAATGCTTGTTTCCCTTCCCCATAGAAAAGGAAGAAACAATTTCAGAGGAAACTGGGAAGCCCCGTATGAACAGAGAGCAGGCCCAGAAGAACAACTTCTACTGGCCGGCATTATAGGGAAGGAGGAACGCCCTGGCGTCTCCCCAGATGCTTCTGCTGGATTTGGCCCCGGGGGCGCCGAGCCTCGGGGAATTCAGAGGAGGAGGATTCCTAGAATGTGTAATGGGAGGACAGCCAGAAGGAAGAGGAAGCAGCGGCTGCCAAAGGGTCTCAGTCCTGCCAGATTCACCTCCCTCCCCTTCGTGACCAGTGACTGCGATGTTAATGCAGCCCTTCTGCTCGTCCCCTGGAAGGAGGGCCGAATGGTCAGGGGGGTGAAGGCTTTCCTTAGCCATAAAACAAGCCCTCAGATGGCATCTGAAGTCCCTTCCTGCTCTGGGTATGGGACCCCAGGACCTTCGAGGGCCTCCCAGCCGGAAAAACCCAAGATACCTATTGGAGGGGTGGCCCTAAACATGTCACTTAACCTGATCCCACTTAATTGGAATCTCCAAGTTATCCTACTTAGAGCTTACTCATACCTATTGGTTTGCAGGTGATCCCCCCCCTTTAGACTGGGAGTCCCTTGAGGGCAGGGCCTAGCACTTAGTAGGTGCTTAATAAATACGTAGTGACTTAGGGCCCTAAGCAGAGAGGGCTGCCAACCTACACTGGTAGATGGAGTTTCCTCATCCAGGAGTTCTTTAAGAAATGATTGCTCTAGTACCCATCTCTATCAGCATGATATGGGAAGGACTCTCATGGAGTGCCCCATGGATCTCTGCTTGGTCCAGACTTTTAACACTGACTTGGATAAAGGACCACATGGCTTACACTAAGTACAGGTATCAATATGCTAGGACGGGGGAAGGGAGTCAGGTATCCCACTAGGCTGCCTGAGAATGGGAAAACCAGCCTAGGTCAGAAACAGCAGGGGAGAGTTTGTTTGGATCAGCAGTAGGTTTGGGCCTATGAGTGGCCAATGAAGTTCCAGGATAAGATAAGAAGAAGGGAGGAGGAGAAGGGAAAAAGAGAAACGGGGAGATGGGAAGGTGGAGGAAAGGGAGGGGAGAGAAAAAAGATCTGGTGTTTCTAGTGGCCTGCAAGCTCAGAGTGAGGGGGTATAATATGACAGTCACAATGTCCTCTGCTCTGGTCAGGCCACAAGGGGAGTACTATGTTCACTTCTGGGCACCAGGCCTGAAGACCAAAGTATCACATTTAAAATTTCAAGTATGGCCAAAAAAGAAGATGCAGGTGATTTGTACATCTTAGACCCCTCTATGAATGTAAAAGGCTGCTGATAGCAGCTCAAGGCCTGAGGCTCACAGGCACCATTCTATCTCTCTTTTAAGGAGGCTCATGGCCAGGGCCCTGAATATAAATTGAAGGGAGCAGCTAGGTGGTGCAGTGGATGAAGCACCAGCTCTGGAATCAGGAGGATCCGACTTCAAATCAAGCTTCATAACTCAGACACTGGTTGACCCTGGGCGAGTCACTTAACCTCAAAAAAAAAAAAAAAAAACAACCATAAATGGAAGGCTACTGGGGCAAGGTGGGCTATGGGGGCATCTCTGAGTTTGGGAGAGTGATTTTTGCTCTCACTTGAGCCTCATAACAAGCCCAGGAGGTAGACACCATTGCTATACCCATTTCCAGATGGGGAAATGGGACTGAGGTAGGATTTGAAACTAGGCCCTCATTATCCAAGGTAGCTGATGGAAACATGAGCTCAAATCCAGACTCAGATACTGGGTGACCCCTGGATAAATCACTCAATCTGTCTGCCTCAGTTTCCTCAACTGGGGATCATAACAGAACCTCCCTCGAAGAGTTGTTATGAGGAACAAATGAAAGTATGCTTGTTAAAAGGGCTTGGCGCAGTTCACGCATTGCCCAGCATACAGGAGGTGCCATAAAAACGCTTCTACCCTTCCCTTCCCCATCTTGGCTCAAAGTCCAGTGCCCATCGACAGTGATGGCTGCTGCTGGGGGAAGGTGTTGCTGGTTCCCCCTGCTTGAATACTCTCCAGGTGGGCAGGACTGCCCAGAAAGGTCTGCCCTTGAAAAACTCAGGGCCGTGTGCCTGCCTTGGGGAGGCAGCTGGGTGGGCCACCTGGACGAACAGGCATTAAAGGGAGGACCACAATGGTCAGTCGGGCTGGGATGAGAATGGGCCCTCAGGGCCCAGGCCAGGAGCCTCAGGCCTGAAAAGGGAGCTCCACATCAGATTAAATTAACTTCTCCAGGCCAAGTGATAAGAGTTTCTCTGATCTAGATACAGGCCAGAAGCCTTTCTGTAAGAAGTAGGTCAAGTGAAGGCCTTTTGTCCCAAAATGAGAAGTTTGAACTTGATGATCTGAACTCTTCCTTCCGGGTCTGAGTCTATTAACCTGTTCCATCTGCACCCCCAGCCCCCAACCAAAAGGTCATCTAGTCACCCCCCCACACTCTTTTTTTTGTTTTTTTGGACAGATGAAGAAACTGAGGCCCGGAGGTTATAAAGGTCAGAGTTAAGGCTCAACACGGGACTCAAGACGGCAAATCCTAATGTTTTGTTTCTTCTCTCCCTCCCTTCACCAGGGAACCCAATTCAACCTGAAGTGTTTGGTCAGTCTGTTGACTAGTCTAGGAATCCTCGGAATCTGTTTCTGTGTCTTCCGGGGACCAGAGTTCAAGGTCACAATAGGGGAGGGGGAAGGAGTCTGTTGGGAAGGGGGAGGGGGAGTTCTGAGACTAGCAAGAAGAAAAAGCACTGGATTTGAAGCCAGAGAGGCCCGGATTCAAATCCCAGCACTGCCACTAATACCTTTGAGAATTTATAAACAAACAGTTTCACCTCTAGTTCAACCTTGAGGGTCTTATCCGATTCTAACTAAATTCTACGACCTTGAGAATCCCAAACTCCGTCTATTAGAACCCCAATACTCAGAATGGGGAAGAGCCAGGAGGCTGATCCAGTCTCTAGGATTGGCTGCAGGCACAGTATAAGAGCCCCAGACACGTGTGATCACGGACTGCTGCTTAACACAAAGTAGGTGCTTAACACATACTAAAGGCAGTGGATAGAACACTGGGCCTGGAGTCAGGAAGACTGACCTCAGCCACTTACTACCTGTGTGACCTTGGGCCAGTCACTTCACCCTGTTTGCCTTGGTTTCCTCATTTGTAAAATGAGCTGCAGAAGTACATGGTAAACCATCCCAGTATCTCTGCCAAGAAAACCCCAACTGGGGTCACACAGAAGCGGACACAACTTAACACCACCACCAATAAGTACTACATGACTAACTGACAGGTCCCTTCCTCTCTCTGGGCCCGGGTGTCTCCATCCTTGAAGCGGGTGTGCAACACTTACTTCCCAGGGCTCCAGGGAGAAGCTTATCAGGAAACTACTTAAAATGAGCCCCTACTCAAGGTGCATCCCTCTGGACCCAGCCCATGATCATCAAGGAAACGATTAACGTGTAGCCTAGACACACAGGGCTCCCAGGGAGAGCAGGTGCTGAATAAGCGTTCATTGACTTAACCTGGGCTAACAGACTTGGGTGTGGAGGCAGAGGAATAAAAACAAAAGTGACAGGGATGGATGAGAAGACCTCCAGGACCCCTTTCAGACCCCTGGTACAGCATCCTAGGATCAAAGCTCGAAAACACATCGATTAAGCATTTCCTAGGGGATGCAAAAAAAGGGAAGGCCTTAGCTGCCCTCAGAGAGCTTATATTCTATGAAGAAGAGACAATGCCTAGAAGGGAAAAGGGAGGGAGCCAGGGGTGGTCAGTGGAGTCCCAAGGAGGCAGCTAATCAAGAATCCTCAGGGAGGATTGATTGGATCCGCAGACCCTGAGGAAGGGGCTGGTGGGCCGGGCTGGGCACTGTGAAGGGGCCACCACAGGCCAGAAGGCAGTCTCTTGCACTCAGCCCTCCGGGTCTAGCCCCACAATTGAGCCGATTACCTCCATTTGTAATCTCAAGGTCCTCTATGACCTTGGCTAAGTCCTCTCCCCACCAAACCAAGGACCCTCTTCTGGCCTCACTCACTTCTTTCCCCAGTTCTGCAGATGCCCCCCAGGTTCGGGCCTGGCCTCTCTCTCCTCCTGGTGATCACAGATGACTCCCAGTCCGAGCTTCTTTTCTGAGCTCCAGGCCCAAGGCACCACACCACGAATAACCATTTAGTAAGCACCCACCAATGTGCCAGGCACTATGCTAAGTGCTTAACAAATATGATCCCATTTTCCAGAATAAAGTATGATTTTTTTGGTTTTCTTTTTCTCATCTTTTTTTCCAACATGGCCAATATAGAAATGTTTCCCATGATTGATATCACATTACTACTTTCGCAAAGGGGTGCGGGAGGGGCAGGAGGAAGAAACAGAATTCAGAACTCAAATTTTAAAAACAAAATGAATGTTAAAATGAAATGTTTATTTTAAAAAATAAATATAACTCTAAAAAAAAATCTCACTTGATACCTATGAGATATTTCTATTTCATTAGTATCCTCCTCCCCCAAACCCACCTCTCCCTCAAACGCTGGCATTTCTTGAGGGCGCTCCCATCCTTCCAAGCTGCCCCCACCCCCATATCCATATCCATATCCACTCCCAGAAGGATACCACCCTAGTGAAATGAGATCCTAGCTCCAGAGCTGAAAAGGAGTTTCCAGGTCATCTGGTCCCCAAAAGAGGTTGTGAATCCTACAGGATTCAAACTAAGATTCCTGGCACCAAATACTCCTTTTGCCCATTGCCACGATCCCCACCATTTAACCTCTGGCCTATTTAAATAACCTATCTAGACTAGTCCCTCCTCTCCCATCCACCCTCCACACAACGACCAAAATATGTCTACAACCCAAGAGGGCCTTGCTGCTACTCGCTCACTCAGTGGCCCCCTATGGCCCCTGGGATTAAATGGCAAATGGAGAACTTGTATTTTACGCCCTTCATAATTGACCGACCCTAAGTTTCCAGCTTTGTTTCAGGTTACACCACGTTTTTCCTTAGTGTGAATGGCGAATCTTTTGAGGTGGTCACATGTATTCAAATTCCCATGACTGGAAGTTATAATTATGTAAACTACCGTCACTGGTTCCAGCCCGAGGGAGCTATGGAGCGTGAATTCAAATAATGCAAGCACTTCAGGGGGATTCATGACTTGTGTTAATTGGAGCTGGCTGCACTGAAAACAGCTAGCTAGGTGGCTCAGTGGACAGAGAACTGGGCCTGGGATCAAAAGAACCGAGTTCAAATCCTTCCTCAGACTCTTGCTAGTTGTGTGACCCTGGGCAAGTCTTCTCACCTGTCTGCCTCAGTTTCCTCACCTGTGAAATGGGGACCATAACAACACCTACCAACATCCCAAGGCTTGCAGTGAGGACAAAATGAGAAAATGACTGTAAAGCACTTAGCAGTGTCTGGTTCCTTGTAATTGCTATATAAAAGTTATTATTATTACAGTGAGATCACATACACAAATCTTAGCTTGCTCTGTAAATGCTGGCGTACTCCCCTTCAAATGCTCCAGGTTCCAGCCATGCCAGCCTACACTTTGGTCCCCCAACTTGGGATTCCATTGCCCCCCCTGAAAGGCACCTCTCATCTCATAGAAGCCAGATGCAGGAAACCTGCCCAGATGGGAGCTCATTGAACCCCCTTTTCCTCCTCCTACAATCAGCAAGTAACTACTTATTTTATCTGTAAGTGGAAACTTGAATTTATCAATTTATACAAATTACAAACATTATCTCAAGTTGCATCTCACCCCTTCCCCCAACCCTTTTCATGGGCTTAGAGTTGGGATCCCAGGCAGGGCCAGCCCCACCCCCCCTTTTTTTTTTTTAAACAAATTCAGTCTGTTAAAAAGCATTTATTAAGTCCCTATTAAGTACCAGGCACTGTGCTAGGTGCTGGGGATAAAACAGAAGGCAAAAGACAGTCCCTGTCCTCAAGGAGCTCACAGTCTAAGAGAGGAGACATCACCAACAGCTATGTACAAACAGGAGAGAGACCAGTCAAATTGGAGATAAGATTAAGGGGAATATGGAAAGGCCTCCTGTGGAAGGTGGGATTTTAGTCAGGACTTAAAGGAAGCCAGGAGGTCGGTGGGCAGAGCACAGAAGGGACAAGCATGGGGGACTGCCAGAGACAACGCCCAGAGCCCAGATGGAGGGTCTTGCTCCTGGAACAGCCAAAAGGCCGGTGTCACTGTATTGAGGAAGATATTCTGGGGACTAAGGTGTAAGAAGGCTGGAAAGTTAGGAGGGGGCCAGGTGATGAAGGGCTTTGAATGCCAACCAGAATATTTTGTATTTGATCCCAGAGGCAACAGGAAGTCACTGCAGTTTACTAAGTAGGGGGTGACATGATCAGGCCTGCATTTTAGGAAAATCCCTTTGGTGGCAGAATAATGGATAGATAGGAGTGGGGAGAGACCTGGGGCGGGCAAATCCCCCCAGCAGCTATTGCAGTGATCCAGGCAGGAGATGATGAAGGCCTGGACTCAGGTGGGCGAAGCCTCAGAGGAGAGAAGGACACTATTGAGGAGGAGATGAAATCCACAAGAGATGCTACAGAGGTGAAACTGACAGGCCTGATGAGGGGCAGCAGGAGTGGGGAGTCCAGGATGGTGGTACCCTCTCCAGTAACAGGGAAGATGCGGGGGGGGGGGGGGGGGGGGGGG